GTGGCTATGTGCGGGCTTTCTCTGGTTGCTGCAGGTGGGGGCTACCCTTAATGGTGATGCATGGGCTTTTCATTGCAGTGACTTCTCTTGTGGAACACTGTCTCTTGGTTCACGGACTCAGTAGTCATGGAATGCAGGCTCTAGGCACAGGCTCAGTAGTTGTGGCACATGGGTTTAGTTGCTTCCCTGGCATGTGGAATCTTCCTGGACCAGGGATCAAACCCACATCCCCTGCATTGGCAGGCAGGTTCTTATTCACTGTACCACTGTGGAAGTACTCAAAGTTAAAAACTTTTGCTCTGTGAAAGACACTCTTAGGGGGAAAAAATGATACTATTAGAATGAAAAGTCAATACACGTTAGGGAAATATATTTACAAATTACATGTCTGAACAAGGACTTGTATCCAGAATATATGAAGCTCTCTCCAAAGTCAATAGGAAGAAAACAAGCAACCAGTTAAAAAGTGGACAAAAGAATACTTTACCAAAGAGAACTAAAGGATGGCAGATAAGCACATAAACAGATGCTCAACATCGTTAGTCATAAGGGAGATGCAGATTAAAACCAAAATTGTATACCACTAAGAATCTATTAGAATGGCTAAAAAAAAAAAATCACAACACAAAGTGCTGGTGAAGAGGCAGGGTAAATGACAAACTCTAATAGGAACGCAGAATGGACCAACCAGTCTGGAGCACAGTTTGGCAGAATCTTATAACGTTGAACACATCCTTACTGTACCACCTAAGCAGCCCCACTCCTGGCTATTTACCCTAGAGAAGTGAAAACTTATTTTCTCACAAAAACTGATACTGGAATATCTGGAACAGCTTCTTTGATAATTGCCCATATCTGGAAATAATCCAAATGCCCTTTGATAGGTAAATGGATAAACTGTGGTACTTCCATCCACTGGAATACTTATTCAGCAATAACAAGCACCAATTTGAATGAATCTCAAAGGCATCTGAAAGGCATGCTGAGTGAAAGAATCAAATCTCTAGAAATTATGTGCTATATGACTTAATTTATATGACAGTTTTAAGAGAATAAAGCTAAAGCACTGAGCTAAGGAATATCTCAAGGGAATTTTCTGGGTAATGGAATTGTTCTGTATCCTGATTTTGGTGATGGTTATATGTGGCTATACAAGTGCTAAAATCCATAGACCTGCACATCCACGTACACACACAGACACAAAGTCAATTTTACTGTATCATGATTGAAAAGCAAGGTAGGAGCAAAACTGTGGCGTCTTCCTCCACAGGATCTCCCCAGTCTCATTCTCCTTGGAGGCCCAGGCCTTCCTTTCTCTCCTTGCTCCCTTCGTCCCAGTCTCATGGCCCTCTTCGGTTCCCTCCAGAGCTCCATCATGGCCAGGCTCTGGCCCTTCACAGTGTCTAAGGCTTTGGTTTTGTACCATACTCTTCTTGGTTAAGACCAACCATCAAAATCCCCTGCACTTTGATCAGATTCCCTTAACAAGCCAACAAACAACAAAACCAAAATCCATCCTTTGCTTTCCCCCTTTCTCCACCTCTGCATTCAGTTCATCTTCGAGTACTGCCGGTTCTTTCAGAACAGATCCAGAACCTAATCACTGTTGGCATCTCCAGGCAGAGCATGGCCATTCAAGGCCCCAACTGTTGCAGCTGCCTCCTATCGGGTCTCAATACTTTCAGTCCTTCCCTGCTGTTGTCTGTCCTCAACACAGCAATCAGTCATTCTAGTAAAACAAATATGTCATTTCTCTACTGAAAATTCTCCAAAATCTTCAAGTGATTCAGAATAAAAAGCCTACTCTGGCCTCTAACGGCCTTTTGAACCAGCCCTCGCCTACTTGCCTGGCCCTGTCTCATCCCATTCTTCCCCCCACACTGCAGACCAGTCATTCTGATCTCCTTGCTCTTTCTAGAAGATGTCAAGTTTATTCCCACCTCAGCGCTGTTTCCTCTGCCTGGAAGTAGCTTCTCGGAGATATCTGCATGACTGCTGCTTCAGATAGTTTAAGATTCAGCCCTAAAGTCACATCCTGAGAGAGAGAACTTCTCTGACCACTTCTTTGAAAGAACCTCCCTGGTCTTCCAGTCTCTCCATCCCCTTAACCTGATTTATTTTCTCTCAACACTCAGCCACCTGCGTATAGCTTTCTTACAGATGCTGACTTCCCACTGCAACTCAGAGTCCAAACTCCTTACTGTCCCCTGCAAGATGCTCTGTGGTCTGGCTCCTGCCACCTTCTCTGAAATCACCACCCTCTCCTCCTCTTGCTTCCCCCACTCCGCTTCCCTCTCTCCAGGTACCCTGACTTCCGTATGTTTCTGGAACACGCAAAGCATGTTTCTATGTCAGGATCTTTGCCCTGGCTTTCCCGTCTCTGTGGAAAGCTGTTCCTTTATGCAGCATCCTAGCATATTCTGCACAAAAGTCGCTTAAGCAGAAACCTTCTTTGACTAATGAATCTAAAACAGCAAGTCCTTCATCATCTGGTATCCCCCTTCCCTGCTTTATTTGTTATTGCATTTGTAACTGCCTGGTTTTTGTATGTGCGTATGTTTTTGTTATGTGTTACTGGCCTTGTCGCTGGGCTGGTAAGAGCTGGGGCCTTGTTTTATTTGCCCGGGGTCTCACCTGGTGCATGCTAATGCCAGTTTGAGGATGATTGGGTGCAGGGAGGCACTGGGAATATCAGGAGCTCTTGGGGTGATGTGGGGGAACCTGGCAACTCACCTGTTGTTGCTGTCTGTGCCTCTCCCCAGGTGTGAGCTCTATATGGGCAGTAGCCAAGAGGCAGTGCCCAGCACATAGTGGGTGCCTGGGAATAGTTGTAGAATGAATACCTGAGTGAAGAAATGATACAGGCCTTTGGGTATTTAACAAGGATTTTGCCGTTTCAAAGAGGAGATCTCCACGCTTTAAATGGGAAGAAATGATATGAATTCGGGGTAGGAGGGTACCAAATTTGGAAGCTCTTTCTGACATCTTTACATGGACCCTGGACCGGTAAACACATTTTGAGGGCCTTCTGTTGATCTTAGGCTGATGATAACGCATTTTAATAGCCTCAGTCACGCACAGCTCTCTTCTCAGTTCCTCCTACTGGTGTCCTCTCTGCCTGTGCGTCCTCTTCTGCCTGGGCCATCCTCCCAGCCCCCAGCCTTCCCACAGTCCACCCTTCCTCACCCTCCCATCTTAGCTCAAGCCTCTCTTCCCCAAGATTCCCACCAGCTCAGGCCCAGGGGGAGCACAGCTGTGATTAACGTGTGTTCGTAGGATTCCGTAGGGAAGGTTCCCATGAAGGGGGAGCAGAGGCTGCATCTGCCCGGCTGTTCTCTCTCCTGGAACCCCACACTGCCTGGCAAGGAATAGACTTAATAAAAGATTTGTTGGATGAAAACATTAATTCATTAATTAATGAAACAAAAGCTACTAACTTTTCAGTAGAGCCCCAATTTCAGGATGAAGCAGTGAAGGCAATTGTTCAAACAAAAGGCAAAGAAATGCATTCTGCTTTTAACTCCTGGTACTGTTAGAATATGAAGGATGCTGTGGTGTACAGGGCATGGGCCGTGGCACAGGTGGGTTTCTAGGGGTCATGAAAGGACAGAGGAGCTTCACTGCTGCTGAGTTCTGCCCCTCTGACCTGAGCAGGCTTACTCATTGTCTGAAGTATAGCCTGACCAAATCTTCAATCCAATAATACAGCTGGTGCTCAGATTTTTTTTTTTTTTTTACATTATGTGAAATTTTCTTTGTGCCTTTCTACTGAAACTCAAACGATAAGAATAAGAATAGAAGAGATCATTGAAATCAGCCCCACATAAGGTGACCTTCAGGCAGTCAGCTGTGTTCCACTGAGGGTTGCTTGGCTTCAGATGTGTTTGGCAGGGAGGAGGGGTTTCGGAAGGTGTGGAGGTGAGTTGACTCTCGGGTAAGGGACGAGGGACGCTGGTCTGGTCACCTATAATAGGGCACTCCACCTGGAAACTCCGGGGGTCTATGCCCATACTTTCTGTTAGTCCAAGCTTCAGTCTTCTCCCTTACCTGACTTCTGCAGGAAAGGCTGAAGTGGTGTGTGTCATGCCTGTTGCTCACTGGAATCACAAGGGGAGATTTAACAATTCCGAAGCCATGGCTCAGATGGTAAGGTATCTGCTTGCAATGTGAGAGACTTGGGTTCAGTTCCTGAATCTGGAAGGCCCCCTGGAGAAGGGAATGGCTACCCACTCCAGTATTCTTGCCTGGAGAATTCCATGGACAGAGGAGCCTAGCGGGCTACAGTCCCTGGGGTTGCAAAGAGTCGGACACAATTGAGTGACTAACATTTTCACACTTTCAAGTCCTGCCTGTGACCAGTTAACCTAGGTAATTGGTAGGGTCCAGGTATCAGTATTTTTAAGAAGCTCCCTAGATAACTCTGGAGTGCATCCAGAGTTGACAGCCACAGTAAGGCATCGGCACAATCGGCTGATTTCCCTTTTTCTTCTTTCCTGTTCTCCTGGTTCTCAGAAGGGCTAAGTCGCAATGGTGTGTGTGGTAGGCAGACCTGTGTGATGGCTGCCCGGCGTCCTGTCACCTGCTACCCCGTCCTTGTGTAACTTCTGCCCCTGGAGGGTGGGCTGGACTTGAACTCCTATCAGCCTAACCATCCAGAGGAAAAGGGTCAACACAGCGTGGGGGCAGTGAAATGAAAAGCCCTGCATAATCCACAAGCTTGGGGTTTGTCTGGGTCAGTGTGTTACCAATGAGCTTCACCACCTCAGGTCTCCCTCCACCCCCTCCCCTGCACCCTAACCCCAATCCAGTGGGGATGGTTTGGGGGTGATCAGCCCCTTAGTGCTATTAACATCCTCAATAGAACCTTTCTTCAAGGCTTCTGGTCCTGCCATCTGCCGCCTTTTCCTCTTCCGCTTAACCTTGGCCACCTGGTCTGAACTGGGTGTTGGCCTCCTGGCCCCTTTCTTTCTCAGCTAGAGGAAAACCTCTTCTCAATGCAGAGCCAGCCAGGGCAGTGTTGTGCACAGCACAGCGCAAGAAGCTGCTTCTCTAGGTCGGTATTACATTCGTTACTGTGGTGTGAACCCAAGCACTGGGGCCAAGGTCTACTTGGGTGCCCTGGCTCTGGCGGTGAGTCACTATTGCGTGGTCTCTGCGAGGGGAGATCAAACCCAGGCTCCCTGACCAAACCTCACTCCTGATGTTTCTTCAAGGAGATGTGGACTCCCAGGCCAGTTGGTTCCTCTCCCTTACATTTTCCCCAAGCATCAGAAGAACTACTCTGGGGACACTAGCCATGTCCCCAGCTCCCCCCAACCCAGAGGTGCCAGCAGCTCTTTTGTTGGTTTGGTTCTCCACTTAGATCATTGAAGTGATTCCAGATCCAACTGGGCAACACTCAGCATTTCATTTATGTCTTGGCAAGGTTACCATGTTATTACTTAACTGTGCTGCTGCTACTCAATAAGTGGGAACTGATTGAAATAACCACAGGAGTTGCTGGATTCCCCTAATTTTAGCACAGAGTTAAAGCTCACTCCCACAGTTGGAAGTTAAAATAGGCTGCCAGCCCACAGAAATGCCCACCCACCACACCTAATTGTCACACCACTGATGCCTGTCAGGGAAGGAGATGTAGAAGGCTGCAGAACATTCTTAGAAGCAAGGTTCTTCTCCTTGGCAGATGCCTGAGGTCATTTTGGCCTGGCTGAGTTTCGCTCGGACCCTGTGCCTGCGGAATTCTGCATGGCTGCTTTAGATACTCCCGTTTTCCTAATTTGTTTAACAGGCAGTCCAAGTACAGAGTACACATTAGCGCAATGGAAGAGAACAGAAACTTCTGTTTGGGGGTGCCACTTTAAATGACTCATTCCTGGAGGCCAGATGTGTGAAGGGCAAGGACCCTGAGCAATCAAGGTAATTTGGAAAGCAGAAAACTGATATTTAATCCAGGCTAACTTGCTTTCTTAGTGTCACAGCAGTCAACCACAAGCCACATGCCACAGCTTGAAATAAAATCTGGAGTAAACAGCTTCTCGTACGATTCCCCCAAACCCCATCCAATTCTTTTGGTTTTGTTCTATTGGAAACTGTATCTTACCGGAATTCTGAAGGAACTCTATGAGAAGTGAGTTTTCACAGTGTGCCTACTGCTTAATGTTTCTCGTCACTGGTCAATTGCATGTTCTCTTGCTCCTATTTTAAGTCATCATCTGCTCCTAACACCTTAGCACAGCATTATTGATCAGACTCTCAGGGAAAACTAAAGGAATAGATTAGGCAGATTTTTTTTTTTTTACCAAAAGAGAAAAGGCTTTATCCATAAGGTATTTCCTGAGAGGATGCCAGGCAGCTCCCAGAGTTCTGTCAAGTCTTCTGTGCCAGTGTTGGTCATTCATTTTTTCTCTCTCCATTGCCATGGCCAGCATCTTCTCCCAGGCCTCAAGGCTGATGGCTGGGCTTCGCTGGAGCCTTGGCATCCATGTTGGTTATCAGAGCCACATTGCTCTTCTTTAAAGACAGCTTTCCCCTGCCACTCTTCTGCCTAAAAATGTCCAGTGACTTTCTGTGGCCTGTAGAATCCAGTCCAAATCACTTAGACTTCCAGTGACTTAACTGGTTCCTAATGGCATGCCCCGCTAGATGCCATGATCTCTTCAGGAAAACTCAGCCAGACAGCTTTTCCTTAACATGCCCATTCCAGCTTACCTTCTCACATCTGTCAGCTAGTACTCCCCTAATGCTCATCTCTTCTCCCCCTGCCCATCTTGTTCAGTCCCATCCAATCTTCCTGCCTGTCCAAGTCCAGCTCACCTCTGCTGCTGCCTGCATGGGGCCTTTCCTGATTGTTCCCAACATACAATGAGCTCCCCATGTTTTAGGATTTTCACAAGTACTTGTGGTACTATTATCACGATGGTGTTGTTTTTCAAATTAGACTCGGGGTTCTAACCCTTGTACCTATCTGCTACTTTATTTTTTTCAGAGTCCATATTTTGGGCATACAAGATGGGTAGGAGTCATGGATCCAAGAAAAGACACGGAAGGCAGAAACAAAGGAATGGACGCTTTGGTCTGCAATGTGATGCTTTTAGTGTTAGGTGGCTGCTTTCTAAAATCCATGAAAGTTCCCCCTCTGGGAATTGTTCTATGACCAAGGTCTCCCGCTGTGCTATCAGGACCCCTTGTACATGGAATCATAGTTCTTGCGTTTCAGGAGACTGTCCTGGTGAAAAAGAGACTTGGGCTGGTTCATTTTTTTTTTTTTTCTAAAGCTACAAGGGAATCCAGTGCATGACCAGACTTATTCACACATTTACTGAATCAGGCCAAGCTTGGAACTAAACGATGAAAATGAAAATTAATCAGAGACTCCCCTGGGTCTCACACATGGCAGTTTTGAGTCTTTTTTTTTTTTCTCACTATCACAATTATTTTTCTTATTCATTTTCTTTGGTTGAATAGACGACTGTAAAAAAAGAAAAAAAAAGGGAGGGGCAGAAGTAGTGATGGAAAGGAATAAACCCATGGAAACAGTGAAATGACTGCAGAGATAAAATTAGGCAGGAAGGAAACAAAAGCAGTTTCAGTATCTCTGTGCGAGGCACGCAGACCTTTCCTTGCCAAGACCCCTGGATCAGGTTGGCTGATGAGGTGGCAGGTGCTTCCTCGATTCACACAGAAAACAAGCTGTGGGCCTCTCTTACTGTGGAGGCTAGTTACATAAACACTGTGTCCTGTGCCCCCTTTATGTCCCTCCCAGAAGAGATGAAAATGACCAAGTAGTTGACAAAAGAGAGAGAAGGCTTTGCGTCTTTTCTTCATTCTGAGGATTTAAGGTAAGAACTCTTCTTGACATTATAAAGTAGGGTTACGTCCCCGTTATTGAATTTTTGTTGAAAAACCAAACCACAATAGAAAGCAAACAATCATATAGCATTTTCACACCCCAGAACCTCATTCACCTTGGTAGAACAAAACCACTTTAACATATAGAAACCTTTTCTTCTCACACCGATTAACAAATAACATTAGGCATGATCCAAGTCAGATTTTTAAAACTTGCTGAGCACCTTTCATGAAGAATTAGAAACTGCATAAGACTCTTTCTCCAGGAAACTGTGTTTGACATTTTAACAGTATTGCCTTACCAAGAGCAGAAAACATTCAGAAGGCAAGTCAAGAATTTGTCCCAAACAGAGTGCTTTCTTCTGAGCAAGGGGATGGTTTTTATATGAGGTGTCAGTGTAGTTTCTATATTTGCTGTAAAAATGTCCATAAAAACTAAACTATTGCTCAGTTTTTTCAATCAAGCAGAGTTAGCCAAAGTGCTTTGTAGAAGAGACTATCAGGAAAGGACCAGATAGTGGTCGTTATGACTAATCAGCGGCAGGAGTTGGGCTAACCAGTATTGGCGGTGAGGGACCTCAGGGCCCTGGGGACCTTTCAGGCAACTCAGATTCCTTCAATTGTTGGAAACAGCCCTCTGGAAGGGACACAATGAGTTAATACTCTGATTGAATGTACTGCCAGCTGCTAGTTTACTCTAGTACAGGAAGGCTGCTTTCCTTACACACAATTCTTTGTTGTGTTGTGCTAAAGAGAAATAAATATATAAAAGCCTAAAAGGAAGCCTTCCATGCTTTATGTCTGCTAAAATTGTCAGTACCATGTGCCTTGAGGATGTATGCACCATGCTTGCCTTGCAGGGTTGTTGTGAAAGAAGATGGCACTATTAAAACCAGCCCATACACTTCACAGCTTGTAAAGAACTTGCATATCCATTTTCTCAGTTGAACCTTGCAACATCAGTGGGAGGCCTGGAAGGCTGATGTTATTATCTCTTGAGAGGGAGTGACCATACTGCTGCAGCAGACAGGCAGTTTTGCTTCAGGAAGCCCCAGTTTATTGTGTTGCATTTTTAAGTAGTATTTTGTATCGTACAAGGATGTTTATGGCAGCGGTATTTATAACAAGGAGAATTGGAACTAACCTAAATGTTTGTTGAAGTGAAGTCGCTCAGTCGTGCCCAACTCTTTGCGACCCCATGGACAGTAGCCTGCACCAAGCTCCTCCGTCCATGGGATTTTCTAGGCAAGAGTACTGGAGTGGGTTGCCACTTCCTTTTCCAGGGAATCTTCCTGACCCAGGGATCGAACCCAGGTCTCCCGCATTGTAGACATACGCTTTACTGTCTGAGCCACAGGAGGGTCAGGGTCAGCTTGGCACAGTGGGTCAGGGCTGGCTGGGCACAAGAATAAGGGAAAAGGCCCTGAATAGCTCGTGTGCACCCACAGACGCAGTGCATTCTCGTGTGTGTGTTGGGGGAGGGAAAACCACCCCCCCGCCCCGACCCGCTTCCAACCCCGCTGACTGTTTTTAAAAGGAATCCTGACTAATTAAACTATGGAACTGGCCTAGGTAGAATACTATGCAGCCATTAGGAATTAGAGGTGTGCTCAGTCACTTCAATCATGTTTGACTCTTTACGACCCTGTGGACCATGGCATGCCTGGCTCCTCTGTCCATGGGATTCTCCAGGCAAGAATACTAGAGTGGATTTCCATTTCCTTCTCCAGGGGATCTTCCTGACCCAGGGATTGAACCCGAGTCTCCTGCATCTCCTGCATTGCAGGCGGATTCTTTACCCACTGAACAACCTGGGAATTAGACATATTAGAAGTGAATTCATTCGTGTTTAAGTATATTCTCTGATGAAGAAAATTATTCAGAATATATTTAAGCCAGTAAGCAATGCATGATCCCTTTGCGATAAGAAAAATGTGCATGGTAAAATAACATTTATCTTTGGTGCTGAGAGTATGTGTACTGTTTGTTTTCTTTCTCATCCTTGTCACTTCCAATTTTAATGTTCATCAACATTAGCAAAGTGTGAGTCAGCATTTACACCCAGATTAACTTATATCACAATCATTAATGGAACAATTACAGCTCTACCTCTGGGCTTCCTGGGTAAAAGGGTCCCCATGCCCACAGGTATATCGGCCAAGGTCCTGGCAGGGACCTGTGTTCAACCAAATGGTGGAGATGTAGAGTATTGATTAAGCCACAGCCTACAATGGTGTGACGTGGGTGAGGGAAGCAAGCAAGGGTGACTAGGCACCCAGACACTAGGAACAGTGGGAAGAAGCCGTGAGCACCCTTAGGGCACAGGGTCTAGAGGAGGAAGTAGTTACCAGAGCCCAGGGTTGGGGCTGGGGAGGAGGGGACCCTTGATGGAAGCTGTAATCGTGAAGGTCATTGCGCTTGTCAGACACCAGTGAAGCAGGGAAGCTCTGATCTGATCTTTCTCTTTTTAAAAAAATTTATTTATTCATTTTTGATGTAGACCATTTTAAAAGTCTTTGTTGAACTGATTACAATATTGCTTCTTTTGTTCTTTTTTTTTTTTATGCTCTGATTTTGGCCATGAGGCATGTTGGGATCATAGCTCCCTGACCAGGGATTGAACCCGCATCCCCTGTTGGAAAGTGAAGTTTTAACCACTGGGCTGCCAAGGAAGTCCCCTCTGATCCTGTTCTCCTGCCTTTTCTCTTATCTACTGATGCCTCCCACTGACCAAGCCCAACTGGAAGCCTGCTGACAAGGGAATCCAACTAAACTATACATAGAGGTTAGCCTCCTGGGGCAAAGAAGAGGGCCAAGAGGGCAGGAAATGGGCCTGGTGATGGGGGATATGCAGAAACACAAGGAGAAGAGGCCCCCCCCCCGCCCCCCACGCTTGGTCTCAGTTCTCTGGAGAAAATGGGTATTTCTTAGCCAGGACACTGAAACAGAAAGGCAGCACCTCTTAAAGCTATTATGTGGAGTGAGTGACTTGACTTTGCTGCTTGAGCTCAGAGCCTCAAAAGCATGGAGATGGGATCACAGATCACCTGGCCCACGTGAGCACAGAAAGTCTTTGTGGAATGTTGTACAGAGATAAAATGGTGCCTTTTTGGATCCCAGTAATATCATCTCTGCTGCCTTGGGCGGGGGGGTTGGGGAAGGGGACTTCCAGGGAAAGGAAGACCCAAGTCATGATGATCTTGCTGTTTCCTGCTGGCCCATCTCTGCTCCCGTGTCCTCTTGCACTTCAGTGTCTCCTTCATCGGCCCCCGATGAGAGCAGAACGAGAGTAATAGCGGCAGCCCGTGACTCCTGAGCGCTCACCAGGTGGCCGGCACTGCCGGCTCTAAGCACTTTGTATGACCAACTCATTAAGTCTCAACAACCCTGTGAAGGAAGTAACACCGTTCCCACTCCACTGAGTGGCTCAGAGCATGGATAATGCAGCCAGCCCACTGCGCTTTGAATCCAGCCTCTTCCACTTCCCAGCTGTGTGACTTGGTTTTCTCACTTGTAAAATGGGGACAATTACAGTGTCTGCTTCATGAGGTCATTATGAGGAATAAATGAATAAACATAAGTAAAGGGGTCGGAACTGGATTTGGTGCTTTAGCAAGCAGCCAGTAACTGTTAGTGGTTTGTTGTTGTTCAGTCCCTCAGTTGTGTCTGACTCTTTGTGACCCCATGAACTGCAGCATGCCAGGCTCCTCTGCCCTCCACTGTCTCCCAGAGTTTGCTCAAATTCATGTCCATTGAGTTGGTGGTGATGCTATCTAACCATCTTACCCTCTGCCGCCCCCTTCTCCTTTGGCCTTCAGTTTTTCTCAGCATCAGGATCTTTTCCAGTGAATCAGTTCTTCGCATCACGTGGCTGAAGTATTGGAGCTTCAGCTTCCGCCAGAGTCCTTTCCAGTGAATATTCAGGGTTGATTTCCTTTAGGAGTGACTGTTTTGATCTCCTTGCTGTCTAAGGGCCTCTTAAGAATCTTCTCCAGCATCACAATTTGAAAGTTTCAATTCTTGTTAGTGGTTATTTTCCCCAGTTCCCACAAAAGGAAACTGAGGTACAGAGATGTTAGCTGCAGTAATGTCTGGTAGCATTGATGGTAACTGAGTCAAGTCACAGAGCTGATAAGCAACAGAGGTAGGGCTCTAACCAGGAAGTAGGGTTCAATATTATACAAAAGGACCCACTCTTTCGTGCCCTGCTACTTATGAAGGTGGCACGATCACCTTGGGCTTGAGGTTGATCCATTCTCTGCCTGCCTAAGATGCAAAACAATTCCCTGATGTTTTGGAAGACTGTGCAGGTGATGATCTGTGAACTCCTGTCCATCCTTAAAATCTCACGTCCCCCAGGTGTGTAGTCCCCCGGCAGAAGGCAGTTGGCAGGTTGGGGCAGGTGAGTAGCCTGTTCCTCAGTCTCATATCCCTTGAGATCAGTTAGAATAGAGAGCAGAATTGTGGGAACTGAGGAGCTCAGGTCAGCCTCAGTTCAGTTCAGTTCAGTTGCTCAGTCATGTCTGACTCTTTGTGACCCCATAAACCACAGCACGCCAGGCCTCCCTGTCCATCACCAATTCCCGGAGTCCACCCAAACCCATGTCCATCGAGTCGATGATGCCATCCAACCATCTCCTCCTCTGTTATCCCCGTCTCTCTCCTGCTCTCAATCTTTCCCAGCATCAGGGTCTTTTCCAATGAGTCAGCTCTTCGCATCAAGTGGCCAAAGTATTGGAGTTTCGGCTTCAACATCAGTCCTTCCAATGAACACCCAGGACTGATCTCCTTTAGGATGGACTGGTTGGATCTCCTTGCAGTCCAAGGGACTCTCAAGAGTCTTCAACACCACAGTTCAAAAGCATCAGTTCTTCGGCACTCAGCTTTCTTTATAGTCCAACTTTCACAGCCTATGAGTCCTCAGTTTCTGATTCCTGCACCCTGGCAAGCCATGGCAAGTGTGTGCTCCAGCTCAGTTGCCTGCTCTGGGCCAAAGAAGAGGATGGGGGATGCCCAGCAGAGTTGCCATCATTGTTTTTTTTCTATTAGCCAGAGAAAGGTCAGGGGCAATCACCTGGCCGAGGTCACGAGGTCAAGTCAGCACAAATGTCGAGGTAACTGACAGAGCTCACACTGTAATTCATGAATTCTTTAAGCCTGGGCCACAGCAGTCTCTCCTACTCTCTATTTCATGTCTTGGAAACTAGCTTACCTGCATCTCTCTCTTGGCTTCCTCTTGAATAGTGGCTTTATAATTAGATTTTTTTGTCAGTCTCATCTTTCATTTTACAGTGAAATGTGATCAGTTACAAACTACAACAGAACATGCTCAAAGCTGTGCCACCAGCAAGTCAAAAGGCCCCAATGTAATGTCCATGGCTTGTTGAAAACACAATCAAATGGCTATTCAGCAAATCTCTTTTTCTTTTATTCTTTTTTTTTCTTTTGGCCTGGCATTCAAGGTACAATGAAATAATATGAATGCAATAATATTTTCTCAATTTTACAGATGCCTAGTAACCAAAGTCAAAGGAGATTGCCTAGTGTTCATTAAAAAAAAAGCAATTCCTCCAAAAACATCATGCACAAGAGAAAAATGTGTATTTAAGTTTGCACAGTGTTGATTGCTGCTTTGTTTTCTCACTTATCTTCATGAAGTTGCTTTCAGGAAAGGGGTTATTTAGTCAACAACAGCAGTTCTTTACTTGAGACTGAGCTAAGTCACTGATGCTACCTCGCTGCATACTGGCTGGACCCTGGCATCCAGTCTAGTGGGAGGAGGAGGTGATGGAAAAGTAGGTCTGGATTCAGTTTCCTCATCTGTGAAATGTAGGGGTTGACCTAGCCTTAGATGATCTCTAATATTCCTTTGAACTACAAAAATATTTTTTTCTCAAGCTTCTGAACCTGATAACTTTAAAATATGTGCTGAGCTGTGTTCTGAGTCATTTAATTAATTAAGAAAATGTGCTTAGCTTTGAACCAAACGTGGGGACACCAAGAGCTGAGTAGCAGATGTGGGAGTAGGGTGAATGCTGCATTTTGCTGGTTCATAGGATGATTTTCTGATGATTAGAAAATGTGCCCTTCTTATTGGGAAATTGGAATTAACATATATACACTACAATGTATAAAATAGATAACTGATGAGAACCTACTATATAGCACTGGGAACTCAGTGTTCTATGGTGACCTGCATGGGAAGGAAATCCAAAAAAGAGGGGATATATGTATACATTTAGCTGATTCACTTTGCTGTAGGGCAGAAACCAACACAACATTTTAAAATAGCCATACTCCAATAAAAAATAATTTTAAAAAAATTGGTCAAATACAGATAGGCAAATTATAGATGATATGCTATGAACAGTGAACACTCCAAAAGATATTCAAGAATTTCTAATAATAAAGAGGTATGAACTAAAAGACAGAAGAAGAAAATGTGCCCTCTGTGTGTGGAAGCACTTCTAAGGCCCATGGCTCGGTGAGCTGACTGTCCCTTTCTGGAATTAGGAAGCTCCTTCCTTGGGCTTCCCTGGTGGCCCAGATGGTAAAGAATTCGCCTGCAATGCAGGAGTGCTGCATTTGCATTTGATCAACCCAGGGATCAAACCCAGGCCTCCCACACTGCAGGCAGATTCTTTACCAGCTGAGCTACCAGGGAGGCCTGCAATGTAGGAGATCCAGGCTCAGTCCCTGGGTTGGGAAGATCCTCTGGAGAAGGGAATGGCTACCCACTCCAGTATTCTTGCCTGGAGAATTCCATGTACAGAGAAGCCTGGAGGACTATAGTCCAGAGGGTTGCAAAGAGTCAGACATGCCTGAGTGATGAAGCACACATGCACACACTCCTTCCTCTGGGCAGATGCAGCCTGTGCTAGGACTCTGCTTGTGTGAATGAAGGCCCACCCACTCCTTAGCCAAGCCCCTGTGCAGAGCACCACCTGCACAGCCCGCCTGAAGACCAGTGTGATGGGTATCACATTCATGCATAGTCTACAACAGCTAAGCAGGAACCTGATTTTTTTGTGTTTTCCAAACTCTTTTTTTTAACCTAAAAATAAGCAAGCAAACAAGTAAACCAAAAGACACCTTGGTGCTCATGTGAGTGGAGACTGCTTGAATTACAGTACATGGGCCTCTCATTTCGCCGAAAAAGTGTGTTTTGTGAATACGTCTGGGAGAGCGTCTTAGCCTGGGTTCCCTCAGAAAGCAGGACCTGAGAAAGGAGGGTGATGTATGTGGTTTATTTGGGAAACATAGTCACCAGGAACAGGAGATTAAGAGCCATCAAGAAAGACGGGAGGCAAGCCAGTACAAGGTGCGTTATCAACCTGGTCCCTAGTGTGGTCAAATGGGGCTCCATCCAGCTTGGACCTTGGAAGACCACCTTCTCAAGGAATGGAAGAGAGAATCATTTCCCGGCTCTTGGGACCAACCAGTCAAGGATGGCCCCTGGGGTGCTGACTCCTCCAACATCCAGGTGTGCACATATGTCGGGATGGTTAAGTCCATGGTGGTGCTGGCCGAGGCACTGCGTCAACAAAGGCTAACCCTGTCTCTTTCTGGTACTAAGTCACTGCTTCAAGGATAAAAGGATGTCTGGTGGAAAGCAACCTACTATTTAGGGACTGGCTGGCCTCCTTTAGGGATGCCTGTGCAGATGGAGGTTTCTCTATGTGACAGGAATTCATTCAGTACAGCAGTTGCTAGACTGGTCTTGGTGAGACATCACTCAGGTGGTTGGGGCCATGCTGGCTGACCGTCTGTCTCTGACCCATGTCTCCTGTGTCATGTCAGTCCTGAAGCAGCTAGGGAGAGAGGCTGGCTGACATCCACAGGACATCCAGTTCACCCAGTGATTCAGTGCTGCCCCTGCAGGATACATACTCCGATGGGCCTGGATATCAGAGATAACCAGAGATCTGGCTGCTATGTGACCAGTACTGTCAGTCTCTCTACATGACTTTCTCCACATTTTCCTATCTCCTTGACTTCTGAGGCTGAGTCATAAAAGGCCATGGAGCTTCTTCCGTGTATTGAGACACTTGTTCTTTCACTTACCCTGAAGCTATCATGCTATGAAGAAGTCCAAGCCAAATGATGAGGCAATGTGTTGGTGTTTAAATTGACAGTCCTCACTGAGCCTAGTAGCCTTCGAGTCATCTAGCCTAGAAACTAGAAATAGGTGAAGATGATTTCAGAAGATTCCAATCCAGTTCAAGTCACTTTCTGCCATTTCAGTTTCCCCACCTAAGGCTTTAGCCAGCTTTCCAACTGAGTTTCCTTGTAT